AATTTAATAGTAAGAAGATAAACAACCTAATGAAGAAGTGGGCAAAAGATTTGAACAGATGTTTCACAAACCAAGATATAAAGATATCAATAATCACAAGAAAAACTGCTCAACAGAATTGGTCATGGGGTAAATGCAAATTAAAACCACAAGAGTATACTACTTCACAAACATTGAAACAGTTAAAAACTAAAAAAAAAAATCATCAAATACTGGCAAATTTTGAAATTCTCATAAAATGTTGGTGGGGATGTAGAATGTTTTTGGAAAACATTTTGGCAGTTTCTAATACAAGCATACACCTATCTACAACCTAGCCATGTTATGCCTATGTATTTGCCCAAGAAAAATGAAAGCATGGGTCCACACGAAGATTCATAAATTTATGTTTGTAGCAGCTTTACTTGTCAGTCAGAAATGGGAAAGAACCCAATCCCTGAACAAATGAATGGGTAAACAAATTCTAGTAAATCCATACAATGGAATACTATTTAGCAACAAACAGAAAAGAACTATTGATGAATGAATCTCAAAATCATTATGGTAAGTGAAAAAAATAAAAGCAAAAATATAATTACGTCTTGTATCACTGCATTTATATAAAATTCTAGAAAGTGCAAACTGATCTTTAGTGATAGCAATTAGATACGTGGTTGCCTGGAGACTGGGGTAGTAGGAGGGACATATTACAAGGCACATGAGGAAACTTTGAAGAGTAATGGATTGACCGTGGTAATGGTTTTATGGATATATGTATATATAAAGACTCATCAAATAATACATTTTAAATCTGTACAGTTAATTGGGTGCCATTTTCTAGAATAAAGTTAAAAAATTACGCAGTATACCCTAATGCACCTGTCACTAAAAAGCACTTCTAAATAGATTTTACATCTAAATATGAGAGAAAAATAAAGTGATTCTATCCATAAATACATAACAGGCAAAGAGTTCTTCAATCAGCATGGAAAACACTAGCCATTATCTAAATGTTTGGTAATTGAGCTTCTATTGAAATAAGGACACATTTAAAACTAAATAGCAAGAAGATAAGCAATCCAATGAAGAAATGGGCAAAAGATTTGAACAGATGTTTCACAAACCGAGATATAAAGGTACCAGTAATGAAAAGAAAAATTACTGAACACTATTAGTCATGGGGGAGATGCAAATTTAAACCACAAAAACATACCACTACACAACCCTCAAAACAGCGAACATTTTTTAAAAAGTCCAATATTGACATGTTCTGAAATCCTCATAAAATGTTGGTGAGGATGTAAAGTGTTACAATTTTTGGAAAACAGTTTTGCAGTTTCTACTAGGAAAATGTACTTATCCTATGACTCAGCCGTTTTATATCCAGGTATTTGCCCAAGAAAAATGAAAGAGCAGGTGCAACCAAAGGTTTGTAAATGTGTGTTCATAGCAGCTTTAATTGTCACAGCCACAAATTGGAAAGAACCCAAATCTGTGAACAAATGAATGGTAAACAAATTGTACTATATCTACACAATGGAGTACTATTTAGCAACAAACAAGAGAGAACAATTGATGAAGGAATCTCAAAATAATTATTGTAAGCGAAAGAAGGCAGAAAAAAGTATTACGTATTGCATCATTACATATACATAAATTCTAGAAAATGCAGACTGATCTTTGGTGACAACAGGTAGATACAGGGTGGCCTGGAGACTGCAGTAGCTGGAGGGATGTACTACAAATTAACATGGGGAAACTTTGCAGAGTGATGAATTGATGGTGGTAATGGTTTTATGGATATACGCATATGTCAAGATTCGTCAGATAGTACATTTAAAATATGTAGAGTTAATTGTGTGCCTTTCTTTATACTAAAGTTTAAAAATTATGCAATATGCTCTAATTTACTAAAAAGTAATTCTCAATGGATTTTACGTCCAAATATGAAAGAAATACAACGTCTGAGGTGACTATATTCATAAACATAGAACAGACAAAGATTTCTTCAATAGGCATGGAAAGTACTAGCTCTTATTTACATGTTTGGTAATTTGTATTACATTGAAATAAGGACATCTGTTCTTCAAAAGTACAACAAGAGTATCCTACAAAGAAGCAGAAAATGTTTTCAATGTGTATAACATAGATAAGGATTACTTCTAAAATATATAAAACTCTCAAAAATATTAACTAAAAAGTAATATAGGCAATCCAGTATAAAATGGACAAAGGTCTCTAATTTGTGAAAAACAATATCCAAATGTGCCATGAATGTATAAAAATTTGATTCAATCTAATTAGTTATCAGGAAAATGTCAACTAAATCACAAAGAGCTACTATTATATACGCACTACACAGCTAAACTTATTAAGGGCTGTATCAGGTATTAGGAAAGATGTTAAGCAATGCAAATTCTTATATTCTGCTAGTGAGTTTAATTGATCCAAGCATTTCAGAAATGTGTTACGTTTTCTTCTAAAGCTGGAAGATGTCAGTACCCTATAAATTAGCAATTAGAATTTTCGATTCAGAAACCGTCATTCTAAGTGCACCAAGATACATATACAGGGATACCTACGAATATATTCTTCATAATTGAGCCTTTTCAATGTTCGTAAACATAGGATGAGTAAAGAAGTCATAGCATATGAATACCATGGTGCATTATGTAGGAAGAAAATGAGCATAACGAGGTACAAACAATATCCTGGATGAAAATCATGAAAACAAGACAGAAAAATATGTACTTTGTTATTCTATTTACATAAAATTTAAAAAGAAGTACAACCAAAGTATAAGGTTTAAGAATGCATGCTTAGGTTGTAAACATATATAGAAAAACAAGGAAGTAATTATATTATCAGATGTTAGTACAAAGATTCCCTTTGGAGAGAATGAGAGATTGTGCTGACAAAGGGGCACACAGAAGGTGTGCAGGTAATGAATAGTGATTCATTTCTTCAGCTAGTTGGTAGTTTCATGGCTGCTTCCTTTATAATAATTGTTTTCACTTTTCTGTATGCGAGTTAGTTTTCAAAGAACAAAGAGAATATGACTGCACTTGTGGCTCTATTGCTTATTTGTTTCTAAGCACGTACATCAAAGATTAAATTCTAACTACCTATTTTATGCAAGGTGACGATATTACCTTGTTTGTATTTGAACTGAACTGTCTACTCTTACAAACTGATCTATGTTTAATCTTCTATTTGACATTTAAAAGTAGTTGCTCAATTATTATACTTTGTTATTGTTCTCTTTAATTAATTATAGGCTTAGGTAGCTTGACTGCCAACCCACAGTCATATTATACCCTACATTCTTCATTTAAAAATTATTTTGACATTTCATAATATATATTTGTAAGGTCTTTATTGTTTACCTTCTCTCTTACTCTATAGGAGAAATGAAACCATGTATTTCGAAGCATAGAGGATGTGTTTCTTTTTTTCTTGATACACATAGGGAACTTTTTTTCTTTTTGACTTGGGCTTTCCAAATATAGGTGTTTTTCTCATTTCATTTATGTACTTTTGTTTATTTTTCTACTTTATACTTTAAAATATGTTTTTTCAACTCACTCATGATTAATCTATTCTCATATTCTGTTTGTTTTGGTTTTCTCATTCAGGAATATCACACACATCATCTCCATTCTTTATCCTTTATGTATAATAATCTCTCATACAGAATTCATATATTAGCCATTTTTCTTATCAGTCATTCATTATGGATGTCACAAATTTCTGAACATTTAATGCTGTAATAGAGAATCAAAATGAATTAAGTTTTTATCTTATTAAACTTATTTTTAATATGTCTGATAGCCACTAACATGTTGTATTATTCCTTTTTTCACTGATTTTCATTTCTTACCTCAAATATTTCATATCTACGTTAATTTTATTAAAAACCAAGAACACAATGAACCAAATTTATGTCTGTTTATTCAACAAGATTTTCTTTCCCAAATTATCCTCTACCTCTGCCTCTTGAAGGATATGGTCCCTTCCTTTCTTTGTAGTGAGATGTTTTCTTGGGTTATTTGTTCTTTGAATATGAATCTACCTAAAATTAGAGATCCAGATGTCTCTCCTTGTAAACTTGGTTCTTCTTAAAAATAATCTTATTGGTTCTTAGTCTTGAAGGTTGCTTGAAGAAATTAAACCCCATCTCTATTGATGTAGCATCCTGAAAGAGGTTCAAGGTGTGGACAGAGCAATAGCAAAGAGTGAGGAAAGATTCCAAGTATCTGTTTTAGGAGTTACTTTCTCAAGAGCCAATTTTGTGTTTGGGCCATACTTTATTTCAGGATTATGTAATGATTCATTCCAGCCATCATTGTTGCTTAAACTCTCTAGTGTACAGATTTTCTGTATGGTGGTGTTGCATGTTACCTTAAAACCTCCAGATGGGTTGCTTTTGATACCATTGATGAACAGCAAGAAAATGATTAAATTTTTGTTGTTCAATGTTATTTTTACTGAGGTTCTAGGAAGTCTCAGACATTCTCCTATGTACTATTGATACAAGTGTGTATGAGAAACAGGTCTAGTACTCAAGATACTTACTGTAGGCAATTACTAAATGCAGTGGAATTGTTTTTCTATGTGTTCCATTCTGGAACTTTAACCTGCAAATTCAGGTAAAACTCAAATTGGATAAAATCATTAAAATGAGTGTGTCTGGAAGGATCTTTCCTATTAAAACGTCTATGACATTTTTGTTTCCAAAAAGTATATTTGTGAATACATCCAATTTTTTTCTGTCAATAGTCTTTTGTGCATTCTTTCCTTTGCCAATCCATCACTGTTTACGGTATATGAGATGCATCATATATTTTTTGCTTTTCTGATATTGGTATTACTGATATTATATTATTTTTATATTCAACAGTTTTTCAGAGAAAGTAGACAAAAATAGGTAAATGGTTATAATTTGTTGAAACATAGATTCACAAGCAGATATTAGAAATTGAGACATAGCCAGAATTAGAGCTATGGGTTGGGTTATCAGTTTGAGACTATTGAGTTGTGATGTGGTCCATGGAATTTACCTAGAATCATGTTGCTTTCTGCAATTTTGTTTCTATGTAGATCTAAGTGTTGCCTGAGAGGGGCCTCCAGGTTTAAGCAGACAGGTCAAAAACAGAAGAATAATGGAAATAGTTTGAAATCTCAGCATAAGAGAGTTCCGTTCTTATATGAGTAGCAAACCAAGGCTCTTAACAATTTCATGATTTCTCATACACCTCCTTCAGTTATGAGCATATGATAATTAATGATATTTTTTCCAGATATAGATATTTGTAGAAGATATAACTTTGCCAATTTCAATTTGCTACTTTGAACAAACCTAAAATCTTTACAGAAAGACCCACGAATCATCAAGGTGTTTTTTTGGAGAAAAACATTTTCAGGACGTGGTCACGGATTTGTTTGGTCTTCACTCCATAGACAATAGGGTTGAGAAAAGGTGGGGCTAAGAGGTAAATGTTTGATAGTAGGATATGAACATATGGTGGTATGTGTGAACCAAACCTATGTGTGAAGAAAGAGAAGAAGGCGAGGAGGTAGAATTGTAGGAAGACACAGATGTGGGCAATGCATGTATTAAATGCTTTGAATCGTGCCTCCTTCTGGGGCAGTCGAAAGACAGTGATAAAGATTTGGACATAGGACAAGGTGACAAAGATTATGTCAAATCCTAAGATGGTGAAGGCAACAAATAGACCATATATCTTGTTGATCCGAATATCTTCAATAGCTAGCTTCACAATGGCCATGTGCTCACAATAAGAGTGGGAGATGATTGTAGTCCGATAGAGTTTAAGACGACATTTGATCAGCACGATGGATGGTGCTACAAGAACAGCAGCCCTGAGTGTCACTCCAACTCCAATCCTAGTCAAGAGTCGTTGGGAAAAGATGGTGGCATGTCTCAAGGGGTCACAGATGGCCACATAGCGATCTAGGGCCATCACCAGGAGGACCCCTGATTCAACTGCCTGGAATGAGTGAATAAACCACATTTGTAGAAGGCAAACTTCAAAAGAAATCTCTGGCAAATTAAACCAGAAAATGCCTAACATTTTGGGAAGAATACAGGTGCTAAGCACAATATCTGTGGCCCCCAACATGGCCAGAAAAATGTACATGGGTTTGTGGAGGCTTTTTTCATATTTGATTATAACTAAAATTAGGGAGTTCCCGATTACAGCACTGAGGTACATGACAGAGAATGGAATCCCAATCCAACACTGCACTGACTCCAGGCCAGGAATCCCAATGAGTGTTAGCACAGAGGGCATGAAGATGGAGCCATTGAATATGAGCATGGTGGTGTGGTCAGCAGAACCAAGGAGTGACAATCTTGTTTCTATTCTCTGTCAACCCTATGTGAATAAAAAATAAGAAGAAATTAATTTATTTAATTTATTTTAGCAAGTTATACTTTAGTTAGATTAGCAGTATATCATTTTAACTTTTCTAGCCTAACTACTCCTATCTAATTTTCTCTCTCTTTTCCCAAAGTGATTGAGAGGTCAACCATCAGGTTCAATGTTTCTACATGTCTCAATCATTTTCCATGAGTAAAAATAAATGAATTGGGTTGCCCCCCTAGCCCTCTTCCTCCCTTCTCCCCCTCTGGTAACCACCAATCCAATCTCTGTTGCTACGTGTTTGTTTGTCATCATTTTTATCTTCTACTTATGAGTGAGATCATATGGTATTTATCTTTCTCCTCCTGACTTATTTCACTTAGCACAATACTCTCAAGGCCCATTCTATTCATAATGACACAGAAGTCTCTATGAAATATTATGTTTTCTTTGCTTATAGCCTTTGCGTCTTCTATCCACTCAAAATACAATTTCTCTGAGGTGACATTTTTCTTCTATGCATGTTTTTCATAGGACTGGATCCATCCTGTTCATGTCCCAGTCCTCCACTGGTTCCTTCAAAACATAATGCTGTATGCTTCCAGGGCCTTCTGTAAGTGGCTTTGCCTTATCATTTTCCAAAGTCCTTGGGAGTTTTCCTTCTCACTGATTCCCTGCAACTTGTACTTAACTTTTCTTCAAAAAAATATTTCCGCCACAGTATATGCAAAATGCTAAGCTACAAATTTTAATTTTTTTCTTTAATTATTTGCAAAGCTCATTTTCAGATACTATTTAGACAAAGTATAAAACAGACAGAGGTAGAGGAGGACCTGAAACAACAGACTGGGAACGAGAAAAATTTCAGAATCATGTGCTGTCCATATTCTTTCAAGTTTTTTTTTCCCTTTGATAAATTTTGGTTGGGTCTGTGTTTGGCATGTGAAACGATACCTATAACCTCCCCCAGGTCAACTGTAGGAGCATGTATTTCTTCTTTTCTTAAACCTTAGTCAACTCTGAGCAAGGCCTTCGTTTCTGAGACTTTTTGTTCAGGAACTCCTCCTTCTAGTAAATACACAGTGTGCCAATGTGGCTCTTCCTCATGTCAGACCGTACGCAAATTAGAAGATTATTTCCAAATGATTTTATTCAATACGCATTAATTTAGTTGCATAATATTCCAGAAAGCAACTGGGGAACAAACACAAATTTATTTTTCCTCCATGAAGCATGGACATAGTGCTGAGTGCTTAGAATTCAAAAAGTAACCTCCGCTACTTATTAACTATGTATTATGTTATTCAACTTAAGATTTTTAAACATTTAGATTATTTTATTTCCCTTAGTTTATGATATTGGTGTCATTACACTATTTTATTAAGTAAAACTAAAGCTTATTTTTGTTATAAATAAATCTACTTGAATACAAATTCCATGGCATATTGGCCCTGAAAGAGCAACAAAAACAACTGTGTTCTTGAGATTTTCTAATTATATTCAGTAAGTTGGTGAGATATATATCAGTGTGTAACTAAATCAGACTGGGTTGTACAAAAATATTCTAAAGAAGTTAATCATTCTGTGCCTTTTAGATTCTGAAGAAATAACCTCTATATTACCTTCCTAATTCACCAAATAGCTATAATATATACAATATAATATATGTTTATTAGTTGCTGCATGTCTGATATAAGAAATTTGCAACATCATATCATTCCTACAATTCATATAGCTGCCAAAAATCTCTGTGATTTGACTCAAAATATATGATACTGCCTTTATTAGGAATACTAATGTAGGAAATAACACAGGGCCACATGAGTAATATTTGATCTAGAGTATTCTTGGAGAATAACAAGGAAGCTGAAGCTCTACAGAAATATATAATGTGACTAAGTGGGAAAGGGAGCAAAAAGATAAGAAGCAAGTAAACAAACTAGCAGGCAAATACAATCAAAAAGACTGTCTTCAGATGCCAGCCCAGTGGCATAGGTTAGGTTTACGTGTTCTGCTTCTGCCGCCTGGAGTTTGCTGGTTCAGATCCCAGGCGCAGGCCTATGCACCGCATACCAAGTCATGCTGTGGCAGGGGTACCATGTATAAAATAGAGGAAGATGGCACAGGTGTTAGATTAAGGCCAATATTCCTCAGCAAAAATAGGAGGATTGGTGGTGGATGTTATCTCAAGGCTAATCTTCCTCGAGAAAACAAAAACTGTCTTCAGTCTCAAAGACCATACATCATGTGAAGAAAATAGTTACCTTCCTTCTTGACAGTCTTATATTTCCAACTTTATGAGACCTGATTGATATTATTCTAGGGCAGGACAATTGCCATTTTAAGTCAGATAAATTTTTACTGTGGGAGTTATTCTCTATATTGTAGGAGATTTGGCAGTATTCCTGAATCCTACACATTAGAAGCCAGTAGCATTTTGCCTTTTAAACATTCAATCTGCTAGAAGCTTGATGGATAGCATGAAGGACAGGAAAACGAGGCATAAAGAGATCAAGTTAGAAAGATATTTGTGGTAGTTCAGAGGAGATATCATGGAGTGAAGTGGCAGTATCAGAGGAGTACCAAGGAAGCACTTTCTGTGAGACTCACTGACTTGATGTAGGAAATTGAGAGAGATGACGCTAAAGATGTTCTTGGGTTGAGAGTTGCAGCGCCAGATAACAGAAGACAAGGTGGAAGCAATTTTGTGCATACAGATAGGTAGATGTTTAGAAGAGGGAAGAAAGATTTCTCAAAGCCTGGAAATTCATACCCCAGGGAAACAATTATGAATCTTATGTATATCATCAACCCTGAACCATTAATATTACGTAAAACTCTAATTCTGACTCAGGATGATTCTCAGAAACAAAAGATTTAAGGGATTTAAGGTCTAAATCCAGCTTCCTTACAATTTCAGGAAGCTTTTTTCTCTATAAAGTCTCTGACATTCGCTGTTTGATCTTTGCCTCAAGACCTCCAGTGATAGAGAACTCTCTTTGTTTTCTGAGATGTCTTGCCACATTGCAGCACAGCGCCAAATGTCAGATAGGTCGGTCTTCTTTCTATTAAACCTCAAATTGTCTCTGTCTTTATTTTTCAGCAAGGTTCTAAATCTTCATTCCAAGTTCCAACGATAAACATCAACCATAGATCATGGTGGTTAAAGCACAGGTTGTTAAGTCAACTGAGAGAGTTTAAATACTAGATGCTACTGTTTAGCTTTCAGGCAGTTATGAAACTTCTGTGTGTCTCAATTTCTTTATTGTTAAAATAAAGTTAATGGATAGAAACACAATACTGGGTGACAGAGAGGACTAAATGACATAATCCATCTGAATATTTAGAAAGAAATTTAAAATGAATTGAAATGTTAATAAATGCCAGTTACGAATCCACAGATATATATTCTCTCCTTCTCATGAATATCTTCAGATGTTTCATGAGTCTTTCACCTGAATTAGCCTTTCCTCTAAATGACTTGAAGGGCATCATTTCCCATGAATCTTTCCCAGTCTAAATATAGATAACTTCCTGATCTTTTAGCAAATAAGCTTTCTATTCATGTATTAGCCTCGTCTCTAGAGATCCTCTATTTGTCACCTTCACTTTGAAACTTTTCAGCCATTGTGTCATTAACTGATTCAGAAATATTCTGAAAAGCATGAGACAAAAACTTGCCAGCGCTGAACTATTGTAAGATCTGTTGCTTTTTTGCCATCCTGGCCTCATATTGGTTCACATGGGATATTTATTCTCTTCGAAACCAGTCCTCCATTTCTCCACACCCGGTGCAGGATTTCAAGCTCAAAGACTTACCAGGGATCATCTGTGGTAAGACACATAGAAGCCATAGAGTGGATCTTTTGGATGTTTCAGTTAGTGAAGGATGATGTTTTGTACTATAGGACACACCTAGGGAACTATTTTTCACCAATCCCTGGTGAGCGTTTAGGTTCACCTGGGACAAGGGCAAGACAGGAGTCACCATATGGTTCAGAACTTTAAAAGAGTCATTGTCTAATAGAGGTTCTGTACCTAAAAAAAAAGTCACAAACTCTAGTTTCTCTTTGGGGCTGTAAACCAAAATGACCCTTCTTTTAAATATTCCTAAGAGAGAACAGTGCCCCAAGACAACACAAATTAGCCAATGACATTTATTTATAAAAATAATGTGCCAATTAAGGGAAATAAAAATATCTTGGGATATTCACACAAATCAGTGTACACACGCTGACAGAAAAATAAAAGGAATATTTTCGTAATCTTATGCCAGTAGGGGAAGCTCTGATTTCTTACTTAAGTCCATAAAGGGGCTTACTGTGGAAAGGTCACCTCAGAGCCTCAATCACCTTCACTTTCTGAACTTCTTTCCCAAGAGCTTTGGTAACACTATTCTTTCCTTTATCCAAACCTGCTCTCACCAAATTGTCCCAATCATGTTCTGAATTCTGATGAAATGAATAGATGCATTTCAAAATCTGTAGTACCAGCCACTAATCTATATGAATATCTCAGCTGGGAACTACTATTCAGAGTTGGTATTTACCTAGTTTAAAGAAGGTTTTTGCCTTACCAAAGTGATGCAAAGCTTTAATGTCATGAAGAGAGGAAAAGACTCCCACTGTCTGCCTAGTACAAGAGAAAGGCTATCCAGACTGGATTACATGCATCAGCCTGAGAGGCATGGTGACCTTACTTGAAGTCACAGTTTTGTCGCATGTCATGGGGTCAGGCCCTATTTAGTAGACCCATCTTTTTGCATTGAAAGACTCTCTGACCCCACCTTGTCACTAAACTGTCATAGGTTTATGTTCATCTGAGAAAAAACAATGGCATAAGATTGAAGGCAGTTATGTACTGGAGCCAGCTCATGCTGGCTTAGGAGAGCTGGCTGTGTACTTCTCTTCCCAGCTCTACACTCAATGACTACATGTGGTAGAATGAAATCAGCCATGGCTGCATTTCCTATACCAGGAAAACAAACAAACAATGCTTAACAGAGTATCATTCACCCACCAAAGTAACAACAGATAGACCCAAATAAAATGAAATATTTTCAGGAAAAACAGGTGAATGCTTTTCAGATACAATATGAAGCAGGCAGAAGTGAGGTCAGCAGGTTCTGAAATCTGTACGCTATTCTTTATATGAATATAACTAATAATATAGGCTTATTGAATGACTCCCAAGATATTTCTGGAAACATGCAAAGATGTTTGAACCTCAAAGAATTGTAATTCTACAGAATGGTACAGATCAAAATATTTTTAGAGACTCAGTTTAAACAGAGCTGTGGGAGAATCAAATGTTTAAAACATATATAACTCATTTGGTGACAGATATATTTCCTTAATAATCCTAATATTAAATAGAAATAATTGGTTGCATAAGCTTTTTAGTGGAAATGTATTTCTCTTGGAAATGTAATAGGAGATGTATATGTAATATAGAGAGCAAGTTTTCAGAAGAGGCTCCTATTTCCTCATGTTCTCCAGACAAAACCTGATTAAAAAGAATTAAATTTTAAATATAACAGAATTAGAAATGGAAGTTAAATACTTTTTCTATGGATGATTGATAAAATCCTCAAGGGAGAAGAAATATGTTTAAATGAAATACGGAAAATATGAAATAGAAGAGCCTGGCCATGCCTACATTATTTGTGGAATTGTCTGAATTAAGATGGGAGCCCTTACCATGCATAGAGGAGAGGGATCATGGAAAAGCTTATGTAGCCAGAGTCCTGACTGCCAGGTGTAAGAGTAAACTCAGGTACATCCATGCAACAGAATATCATTCAGACATAAAAAGAAATGAAGTTCTGATTTTTGCTATAGCATGAACAAACCTTGAAAACTTTATGATACGTGATAGAAGCCAGACATTAAAGGCTATGTACTGTATGATTCACTTACATGAAATGCCCAGAATAGTCAAATCCATAGAGACAGAAAGTCGATTAATGGTTGCCATGGTCATGTGACAGGACAGAATGGGGACAGAATGGGGAGTGACTGTTACTGAGAATGAGATATCTTTTCTGGGGTGACGAAAATGTTTGGAAGTAGATAGTAGTGAGGGTTACATAAATTTTGAATATACTAAAAACCAGAGGCTTTACACTTTAAAAGGTAAATTTTATGGTATGTAAACTCTATATCGATTAAAAAGAAATAACTCAGTGATTTTCTCTGGTGCTTGATCAAGTCAGACGTTGAACTCCTGGAATGAATTTTTTCAATTCCGTTATTGTATTTTTCAGCTCCCAAATTTCTGTTTGAATTTTTTTAAAAATATTTTCTGTGTCTGTTAATGTTCTCATTTTTTTCATGTATTGTTTTCCTTAGCTCATTGAGCATTTTAATTATGATTTTCAATTCTTTGTCAACTAATTAATATATCTCTGATTCTTAGGATTGATTTCTGGAGATTTACTTTGTTCCTCTGATTGAGCCAGGTCCTTCTGTTTCTCCATGTGCCTTTGAGTTTGTGCTGGGATGTATGCATTTGAAAAAATAGCCGCCTCTTCTAGTATTTATGAACTGGCTGTGTACTGGGAACAACCTTCATCAATCAGCCTGGCTAGAGATTTTGAGGGTTTCTGAGGATGTGTTTTATCTGGATTTGAGCAACTCATTTCCCAGTTAGAAGGATTTGATGGCTTTTTGTGAGAAGTTCATAATCTTCTTCTCTATTTGACTTCCGTGTGGTACTGCAGGTCTGTGTAGCACCACAAAGCTACCCAGCATTTTTGTTCTCTGCAGTCCCCTGGTATCTATAGTATGCAAGGTTCCATCAGTGCTCCATGAAGGTGAGAGACACACCAGGGTCTTTAGTAGACCCTTGAACCTCAGAACCTTGGGCGTTTGCTCCAACTCTTTCCCTCCCCAGGGTGAAACAAAACCCCCCACACTAAACTGGGATGGAGGGTACTAGGGAGAGTGAGTACATGCTAGTCCAAACCATTGCTTTTGTCCTCAGTGACCCCCAACCTGGCACCTTTCCTGTCAGCACTTAGATTCTGGCATATTGTTGAGTAGGTGCCTGTGTGGCAGTAAGAAGGTTCTGGGGCTTCCTATTCTGCTTCTTGTTGATATCATCTGTCTCTTGTTCTTTGTTTTCTTGTTGCCATTCAATTAAATATATCTTTATTTTTGTAACAATTCATGCATTTTTTTCAATGTACTCAAACTATTTTGTTGATAATAAAATTCTGTTGAGTTCTGTCTTAGCTCCGGCTGCCTTAACAAAATACCATAGAGTAGGTGCCTTAAACAACAGAAATTTATTTTGTCACAGTGCTGATGGCTAAAAGTTCAAGATGAAGGTGCCAACATGGTCCGTTTCTGGTGAGAGTTCTCTGGCTTGTAACTGGCCACCTGCTTGCTGTGTCATCACATGGCAGGGAAAGAAAGAGAAAGCTCTCTAATGTCTCTTCTTATCAGGTCACTAATCCTTCTTTGTGAGCCCCACTCTCATGACCTCATCTAAACCGAAATATCCCTTAAAAGCTCCATGTCCCATGATGTCACATTATAAGTTAGGGATTAACATATGAATGTCATGGGGACACATTTCAGTCCATAGTAAGTGCCTATACTACTTTCTCAGAGTTGCCTTTTCATATAAAATGACTGAATTAAAAGGCTTTTGCTATTAATAATTTTTTTTTTAAAAATGTATTAAATATTTTAAAAGATAATTTTGCTTTCTAATGTTTATGTCAGTGAAAATACTTTCTGCCACAAGTAGATAAATTCTGCCACAAGACTGGTTGCCACAATATTTTTGACTCCTGTTCTTTCTTCATAGTGAAAGCTTTGAAGACTGAAGACTGTTTGTTATTTAGAATATCCATCATTTCCCTGCAACTAAGATACAATTATGTACCAGGGGGGATTTGAGGAGATAAAGTAGAAAAAAAAAGAAAAAGAATATCCATCGTTTAAAATTCTTTATTTCCTCATTATTATATTGAGGTAGTGTGGCTTTATGTCAGCTTATTCATGTATTGCTTTATTCATATCTGTGTAAACTCACAGAATCTGATTATACTC